ACCACTGAGCTAAATCCCCTGCCCAGGCACACTTTCTTAATAAAGGGTTCAGCAACTGCTAGCTGTATCTTCAATCCTGGAGTAGGAGTAAAACTATGACTTTAGTCCTAAGATCAGCTGCTTACTTCCTCTATGATAATTTGGTTACTCAGTTCCCCAAGTCCATTGTTTTAAGATTTTCTTAAGATAAAGGTGTATCCTACCAAATAGATAACTGCACTGACTAAATACTCTTTATGTGTGGACCCTAATGCATTTTTGACATTTGCTGGTATCTTGTTGTGAAGGCAGGAAACATAAGGACAGCACAAGGCACTCAGTCCAATCTGTTTCAAATGTGTTGTGTAGCAGAGTGGATGGAATTGGCGGTATGCTTTAGTTGAAGCCAAAAAGAAGAAAGGTTGATGGATTTCTAGGCATTATAAACAAAACAGGCAAGCATGGAGATTGAGCTGTGAAGGCAAGAAAACTAGAGGTCAGTGGTGGTTAGCAGGAGAGTGACACAGGAAGTAAGGGAGGCAAGGCCACATAGGGAACACCCTGCTTGTAATAGCAGAAGCACATTAACTTAGGATAAGTGTGACAATATGTGGCAGCAGGCATTCCTTCATTCTTTCAAATACCATAAATATAGTGGCAATAAATACAAAAAGTACAGCCCTGTCATCATGGGGCTTCTATGCTGCCTTCCCCAAAGCTAAGTACTTGAGAAAACACACAGATATACATTTTCCTTGCATGTGGGGTTTCCTCTAGGAAGATGGCTTTTATTCTGATCTAGGCAACAAGAATAAAAGATTTTGCAACATTTCTATCAGTGAAAGAAAATCTGTTTGAATCAGATGATAGTATATTATACAGTGGGGAAGAGGAGCAAGTTTCTAAAGGAAAGTCATTAATGCATTCATTTAAAAAAGTGAACAGGACCAATCATGTTCAGTAGAGTCTGAGTATGAAATAGAGCTCTTGTACTTAATATACTCACAGCCAGTTGAATGGACAGACACATGAAAGTTATCACAAACTGTACTCTTGCTGTGTTATTTGATTTGTGCATTAGTAAATCCTCATTGAAATGATTGAGAACCTCTGCCTGGATGAGTCTAAGATGGCTGAAGCCAAGAGAGAGGCAGGATCTTGACCACATAGGAGAAGGGCCAGAAAGCATTCTATATAAATAATACGATCTACAAGCATAATCCTTCAGGAAATGGCAGATAAGCCAGTGTGGTTGAAACTAGAATGAATATTTAGAGAAGTGGTAGGAGGGAGGGCAAAATATTTAAGCAAGAAGACATTTTAAGCCATGTTTAGTGTTTCTTTCTTGTCATAATGCAATCCCATTCCATTTCCAGTAGTTTTCAGAAGGGAAATAAAATATATGGTCTGTCACATTGCAATAGACAAGTTGAATGTGGGTAGAAACTACGGAGGTCTTTATAGTGACTCAGGCAAGAGAGGGACATGAATTCAGGAAGGCACAGAGGGAAGAGAGAGAAGGAAGTGTGGGAGAGAATGTGGGGCCAGGGCTGAGGGCCATTGTCACAGACTAGGAAAGCGCTTCATGAGCTTTAGAATCTGGTAGGAGGCTGTGTGGTTGGAATGTAATGAAAGAGATGTGGAAAGGAATGAGGCTGGAGAATGGGTTAAGATGTGGATTCTATCCTAAATACAGTGATAACCCATGAAGGTTTCAGCCAAAACTTAGTGTGGTATAATTAGCCTTTTAAAATGGTATTTGTAGCTGTAATACAGAGAATGGATTGTTATTATTATTCATATGCCACAGAGATGAGGTAGGAGGTTTTTGTCATCCAGATGAAAGATGACAATTTAAATGTGAGTACTAACCTCAGCACTTGGGTGTCTGAGGAGGGGTGACTGAGGGTCAAGGCCAGTCCAGGCTACATAGTGAGACCCTGGCTCAAACCAAACTAAACCACAAGTGCTAGCAGAGGAAAAGGAAACTTGGTTACTGAAACATGTTTCGTAGGTTGACCACGTTTACTAATGAATTGGTAGCCAAGGAAGAGGGATGGGGTTGAATCAAGGATTACACCTGGGTTTCTGATGGCAGTGATATGCACTACATGGAGAAGTGGTTGGTAGAGAAATAAGACTTGTTTTAGCTCTGTTTTATCTGAGATGTCTGTGAGACATCTCCAAAAAGATGGGATGTAGAATAGGAGGTAGGATACTCTAGTCTGCAACTCAGTAGAAGGTACACGTTTGAGGGTTTTCTGAACAGAGATAGTAAAAATTGAGAAATTAAGGAGAGAATGGAGAGAAATTTGAGTAAGAGGATAATAAAAGAGCATCCAAAAGGAGAAGAGAGGGAGGGTAAAAGAAGCAATGACAAGATAAAGATATTACCATAAGAGGAGTAGTAGAGTGGAAGGTAGGTCAGAAGGGATTGAAAATTGAATGAGAGAAAAAAGTACAGAATCAAATTTTAAAACTTTTGACTGATACACGAAAACAAAATTGTAAATATTTATGGGATACTATGTGATGTTTTGGTACATGTACACATTGTACAATGCTCAAATCCGTGAACGTATCTATAGTCTCACACATTTATCATTTAAGTGAAAACATGCAAAAATCCTCTTTAGCCTTTTGAAATATATAGTACATTATCATTATCTATACCACCCTACTGTGCAATAGGAGTTCAGAACTTTTAAATCTACCTAACAATAGCTTAGTGATTTTTTGGTGGGACTGAAGAATGAGCCCAGGGCCCCTCACGTGATGCAAAATAAATGCCCTACTAATGAGCTATATCCTCAGCCCTTTAATTTTTAATTTTTAATTTTTTAAGCAGGGTCTTGCTAAGTTGCTAGCCCAGCCCTGAAATTGCCATCCTTCTACCTGAGACCCTTGAGTAGCTGGGATTACAGGCATGTACCAACTAACCCAGTGGCACATTTTGAACAAGTTTTGCTGTGAAGGGGAGTATAGTTGAGGGTGTTAGAAGAAGATAAAGGCCAAGGAATGCAGGATAGTTATTCAAAATATATGTTATATATTCAAAATAATCTGATGTTATTGAAAATACACTTTTCAAAAGAAAGGCAGATTTATTGTAGGAAGATTATAATGACCAATAGCATTTTTACACTGCTTTGTAGTTTACAAGGATTGTTCTCATGGTTTCATCTTTCCTCACAATAAAACTCAGTAAAATGGTCATGGGAGGCAAGAGAGATGAGGAAGGAAAAACTTTAAAGTTACCTATCTGTGGGGTGCCACTTCTGATTAGACTCAAACCCCGGGAAACAAGTGCACTCAGGGACACTTGAGGACACTTAAGGATATGAGTCCACTATCAGGGACATGCGCATAATGGGCCACAGTTATATAAGAATGACTTCACATACTTAACCATGCATGTGCAGCATGACCAAGGTCACTGGGCTAGTGTTTTGTCTCACCATGTCCCAGTAAGCTGATAAGGCACTATGACTGCTGCGAAACTAGAGAGCACTATAGCTGTTTTGTAGCTATTTTTTGCTTAAGGAATAAAGACACCCAGCTCTTGAGCTCTGGAGCTGCAGCTCCAAAATTCCTGCTCTGATGCTGCTCTGATGCTGCCCTGATGCTGATGAGTGGCTTAGTGTGTTGTTCTTATTAGGGAATCAATTAACTCACGGAACAAAGGACTATATGGACTAAATGAACCTTTCTCCGCGTGCCCGTGGGGAGGCTTGGCCTTCACACGGTCATTAGCATTAGTTTCCACTGGTGACCTGATAGTAATTGTTACTTAGGGCCAAGTCTTTAGATTCCAAAACTTTCCCCTGTAGCGTGGTACTGAGTTTGCATTACGTTTCTGTACCTTGAATATGCTGGATTTGAACTGCTTATGGAACAAGGTAGAAGCAGAAGAGTGTAGTGATTTAAGACATTAGATTTGAAGGAAGGAAACAAGAGTTTTCAAAACTCAAATTTATCTTTGACATTTTCCAGCCACAGGATTGTCAGTAATCTTTAATTTTAATTAAAAATAACACCCACATTCACTGACTGCTTTCTATGTTTCAGGTATATGCCAAGTGTTTTGCAGGATTGTTTCAAAATCCTTAAAGGAAAACTTTCATGTAGGAACTGGGAAAGAAGAGATGAAAGCACAGGTCAAAATTTTTGGAAAAAAAAGGTTTAAATATTTTCAAAGGAAATGATAATAAAGGGGGGAAAGGAGATAGAAAAAGAAAAGAATCCAAGATGGAAAAACAAGAGTGACAAGGTCAGAGGTTAGGAAAAAAGATAGGAAGATAGGAATAGTGCATCTTGTCTGAATGTTATGAAAGATAGAAGAGGAACTAGGAGAGGGGAGAGCATGTAGAGAAGGAAGTTGAACTCAAGTTAGGTGAGAGAGAACAAAAAGGATTCTCATGTTCTCACCAGCTGGAGTTAGGGCTTTAGTTGAAGACTTTTCTGAGTATCAAATAGGGACCTAAGAAACCTCTCTAGATAAAAATATCTATGGAACTTGTAAAGAAGTGATTTTGAAGGTACTAGGCTTATTTATTTCTCATACAGCCAAGGTTAACACTGCAGAAAAAATTTTTTCCCTTGTAACTAGAATAGTTTGAGCTGGGTGGCAATAGGGAAACAGTGAAAGGCAATGAATGTTTTGGGGGTAAGATTTAAACAGGAGTCTACATCCTTTATGAACATGCTTTTGGCCATGTATGCTACAGAAAAGCTTTTTCCACTTGATTACTCAGTGAGGCTGAGTTTTGATACTAGCTCTACTGGTATATAATGTCCTGACAAATCAATGATTCTATAAACACCTTGAAGGTAAGGATCATGCGTAATCCTTCATGATGATCATTACGACTATTTTCTAATTTCTTTTAAGGTTCAAAAATGAGAAAGAGGCCTAATACTTCTACATACATGATCAGGATCTGAACTTGAGAAGTGTAATTCTGGTGATGATAGAAAGGCTCTGTGGACACAGATGAGGAAGAAGAGAATTCCCAGTGGCGATGTCAGCTTGTAATATGACTTTAACCCACCCAGCGGTCTTCTTGTTGGTGGGCATCCCAGGCCTGGAGCACCTTCACATTTGGATCTCCATCCCCTTCTGCTCAGCCTACACGTTGGCCCTGCTTGGCAACAGCATCCTCCTTTTTATCATTTGGGCTGATTCAGCCCTTCATGAAGCCATGTACTTCTTTTTAGCCATGTTGGCAGCTATTGATTTAGTTCTTTCCTCTTCAACACTGCCAAAAATGCTGGCCATATTCTGGTTTAGAGATCAAGAGATCAGTTTCTATGCCTGTCTGGTCCAGATGTTCTTTCTCCACTCGTTCGCCATCATGGAGTCAGCAGTGCTCCTGGCCATGGCCTTGGACCGCTACGTGGCCATCTGTAAGCCACTACACTACACCACAATCCTGACTGGGCCCCTTATCACCAAGATTGGCATGGCCGTTGTGACTCGGGCTGTGACACTAATGACTCCACTCCCCTTTCTGCTCCGACGCTTCCCCTACTGCCGGGGCCGAGTGATTGCTCACTCCTACTGTGAACACATGGCTGTGGTAAGGCTGGCGTGTGGGGACACCCGCTTCAATAATATCTATGGCATTGCTGTGGCCATGTTTATTGTGGTGTTGGACCTGCTGTTCATCATTTTGTCTTATATTTTCATCCTTCGGGCAGTTCTCCAGCTTGCCTCTCAGGAAGCCCGCTACAAAGCATTTGGGACATGTGTGTCTCACATAGGTGCCATCTTAGCTTTCTACACACCTGTAGTCATCTCGTCAGTCATGCACCGTGTAGCTCGTCAGGCTGCCCCTCATGTTCACATTCTTCTTGCCAATTTCTATCTGCTCTTCCCACCCATGGTCAATCCCATCATTTATGGTGTCAAGACCAAGCAGATTCGGGAGCGGGTCTTAGGACTACTCCAGAGAAAGGATGCAAAAGAAAGGTGAAGGGCGACTGAAGAGTGAGGTGGGTGGCAAGCCGCCGTTGCAAGGAGTGTTCAGTAGGAAGTGGGAGGATATCAGAATCTTCATGTATTTTTTCCCTAACACAATGGAAAAAAACATATTGAAGCCCTGAGACTCCAGTTTATTCAGGGCTCACAGGTCTGGGTCTTCTGTTGCCCTCTGGACTCAAACTGCTGGCTTTACTGAATCCTCACAGAGTTCTTACTCTTTTTTTTTTTAAAGGTAAACATTTATTGGTGCATTTTTAGATACACACAATGATCACATTGATCATAGGGAATCTGTACCTGTACATGACATATCTTGCTTCTTTTTTCCCCATTCTCTTTCCCTCCTTTAGACCCCTCTTCCCCTCATTATTTACAAAAGCTTTGTTTTCATTTTGCCCTTCTATTCTCTTTTTTATCTTGTCTCTTCTTTCCTTTCTCCCTCCCGTTCCATTGTTCCCCTTCTCCTTTGAACATTTTCTTCCCATTTCCCAATATCTATTATACATGTTGGTCCTTATTTCCACTTTCAGTTTCTCACATCAGGGAAACAATGTGTATTTAAACATGTGTGTCTGATTTATCTCACTTTAGAGTACAGTTTTAAGGTGCATCCATTTAGCTAGAAATGTCTCCAGCTTATCGTTCTTTATGGCAGAGTAGTACTCCATTGTATAAAAACCCTACATCGTCTTTATCCATTTGTGAACTGTTGGGCATTTGAGCTGTTTCCAGGATTTAGCTATTGCAAATTGTGCCACTATAAACATGGGTGTGCATATATCACTGTGGTATGATGCTTTTAATTCTTTCAAGAAGATACTAAGAAGGGCAATGATTGGGTTGAATGGAAGCCCTAGTGTTACTTTTTTGAGGAATCTCCACACTGATTTCCACAGTGGTTGCATCAGTCCCACCAACAGTGGAGAAGGGTTTCTTTCCCTCCACAACCCATAAGCATTCGTTATTGGTTGATTTCTTGATAGCAACCATTCTTTCTGGAGTGAAATGGAATCTCAGCTTTGTTTTGATTTGCATCTCTCAAATCACCAGTGATGTTGAAAATTTTTTCATATATTTATTTGCCATTTTTACTTCTTCTGAGAAGTGTATATTCATCTCAGATGCTCATTTTTGCATTGGGTCTTTAAGTTTGGGTGGGTCTGATTTTTTGAGTTCTTTGTGTATTCTAGATATTAGTTCTTTGTCTGAGGCACAGCTGGCAATATTTTTTCCCACAATGTAGGTTGTCTCTTCACTCTGTTGGTAGTTTCTTTTGCTGTGCAAAACCTTTTTAATAAGATGAGATCCAAGTTGTTTATTCTTTGTGATATTTTCTAAGTGATTGGGGTTTTGTTCATAAAGTCTTTGTCTACACCTATGTCTTCAAGAGCTTTACCTATTCTATCTTCCAGTAGATTTAGTGTTTCTGTTTTAATGTTTAGATCTTTGAAACATTTTGACTTTAGTTTAGTGCATGGTGAGAGACATGGATCTAGTTTTAGTGTTTTGCATGTGGAAAGCCAATTTTTTCCCCAGCATCATTTATTGAAGAGGCTATTTTTCTTCCAGTGAAGGTGTTTGGCTCCTTCATCAAAGATAAGGTGGATGAGTGTGTTTGGAGTTGTTTTTGCACCTTCTATTCTATTCCAATGATCCTTGGGTCTGTTTTCTTTGGTTGCCAATAAAATGCTTTTTTTTTTCTTTTTATCATAGTAGCTTTGTAGTATAATTTCAAGTCAAAGATTGTGATGCCCCCTGCCTTGCCTTTGTTGCCCAGATTTGCTTTTGCTATTCTAGGTCTCTTCTGGTTCCAAATGAATTTTAGTATTTTTTCTCTAATTATGTGGGATATGCTATTGGTATTTTGATTGGGATCCTGCAGAAATCTAGAAGATCATCAGTACCTGCTTTGAGAACCTGTATTCTAATAAGATGGAAAACACAGAAGAAATGGACAGATCCCTAGATGCATATGAATTACCAAAGCTGAATCAAGAAGATATAAAAATTCTAAATAAACCAATATTAGTCAATGAAATTGAAGATGTAATTAAAAACCAACAAAGAAAAGTCCAGGCCCTGATGGATTCACTACTGAATTCTATAAGAAAGTTGGAGAAGACCTAATGCTGCTACTTATAAAACTTTTAAATGAAATTAAAAGGGTATAAATACTCCCAAATTCATTCCTGGAAGCACACATTACCCTAATACCAAAACCAGAAAAGGATCCAACAAAGGCCATTCTCCTTCATGAACATAGACTCAAAAATCCTCAATAAGATACTGGCAAACAGAATGCAGCAAATCATCAAGAAGGTTATAAGTCATGACCAAGTAGGATTCATTGTAGGAATGCAGAGATGGTCCAGCATATGCAAATCAATAAATGTAGTACACTATATTAACAGAGTCAAGGACAAAAACCATATGATCATCTCAATAGATGCAGAAAAAGCATTTGACAAGGTCCAACACTGATTCATTATAAAAACCCTTGAGGAAATTGGACTAGGTGGTCTCTATCTTAATCTGATGAAAGTTATTTATGACAAATCTGAGCAACTAGGCAAGAGAAAGAAATAAAAGGAATAAGAATAGGAAAGGAAGAAGTTAAATTATCCTTATTTTCAGATGACATGATACTTCACATAGAAGACCCCAAAAATTCCACCAAAAGACTTCTAGATTTAATAACCAAATTCAATAGCATAGCTGGATACAATGTCAACAGTCAAAAATCAATAGCCTTCCTGTACACAAATAACAAACTCAATGAGAGAGAAATTAGGGAAAGAATACCTTTCCCAATAGCATCCAGAAAAAGGAAACACCTAGGAATCAATTTAATGAAGGAAGTAAAAGACCTTCACATTGAAAACTACAGTACTCTGAAAAAGGAGACTGAAGAGGGTATCAGAAAATGGAAAGATATTCTTTGTTCTTGAGTAAGAAGAACCAGTATGGTGAAAATAGCCATACTTCCAAGACTGTTATACAGAGTTCTTACTCTTTCCCTTCAGTAATTTGATGAGTTGTGACTCCCTGGCCTTCTGGTGACTTCAAATAAAAACCCAAAGACATCTTCAAGTTTTATCTGCTTACGAGAAGCCCGAGAATGTACAGAGTCTTTGGAAATGATGATCCTTCCACTCAAGACTTGGGTGTGCTTCAACAGTACATGCAATGTAGAAACCCTCATCACTGACAGGTGTTTTCCAGCTTTTGACTCTCCCAGTGTTGGGAAATTTGCAACATTCCAGGGATGCGAATTCCAAGTGAGATATCCCTGCTCATTAGAAACTTATTTCTTTAACTTAGCCAGTTTGCATTCTTTGACTTCCTCTTTTTTTCTTTTTTGGTACTGGGGATTGAACTCAGGAACTTGTGCTTGTGAGGCAGGCACAGTGCCACTGAGCTAAACCCCCAGCCCCTCTTTGGCTTCTTTTTACCTCTCCATCCTTATAGCCAATCCAATCCTTCTTATTAATAAGAATAAATCATTTGAATAAATCATGTGCTGACTGATCTTTATACACCATGCAACTCTCTTTGCGCATCTTGCATAACTTATGTTTTCAATAAGAATATAAATTGCTTATCTTGGTGTTAATTTGAAATCCCTTTTCTCTCACATCCTATATATACTCTTTTAATAGATCCATTAGCACTTTTTTCAAATATATACAAAATCTGATAATTACTTCATTCTGTGCTGCCACCACACATCAGAGACACCATCCTCTTGCTCTGGATTAATGCAATGGACTGTTAAGTCAACCCCCTTCTTTTCCATCACCCTTTTGTGTTGTTATCTATACAAAGTCCAGAGAAAACTTTAAAAATATGTCAAACTATGTTACTTCTTTGCTTAAAATTTGGGTTTTTTTTGTGAAAGGAAGAACTACACAGAGTCCGTATAATGGCCTAAAAGGTGCCTAAAAGATCAAGATGCTTAGTTATCCCCGAACAGTATAAAATATTATGAGAACTGCATTTAGTTACATAGAAGTGCAAAAATTAAAGTCTTAGCAAAAGTCTAGGTTGGGGGCAAGGGCACTTTATATGAGGAGACATATTTAAGACTGACAGCTGACTTTGGCAAAAACAAGGGAAGGCAGGATGCAATGGGAAATATTTAAATGAGTGAAATAAAATTCTGTTCCTAGTAAAGATAATCTTTCATGAATGAAGGTGAGGAAGCAAGTCTTACTACCAATTATTGCTAGGATGTGTCACTGTTAGTGCAGCAATAAAAGCAAAAATAAAAATAATTCTTCCAGAAGAAGGAAAATGGTTCAATAAAAACATGAAAAGGCTGTGAGGAATGAGGAACATCAGAAAAAAATAAATATGTAGCTGAATAGAAATGAATATTTCTTTCAATTGATTTCAACAGAGCTGAACTGTTGTGAAGTCCTAGCATCTCTCTGCAGTCTGAACCATGGTCATGCCCCATCCTGGCTGCTCTTTCCCGTCCCAGTGACACCAGGCTTATATCCTCAGAAAGAAATGAAAGGCAAAATAAGGTCTTTGTCCCTAGAACCCTGCCTGCTTTATCTAGGATCTCTAAAAGCTCTGACTCAAGCTGTTCTCACTTGATTAAACCTATGTCCCTCAGCCTCCCCTGACCAGGGCCCAGCTCCCTATCTCCTGTAAGCAGTACACCTCTAAGTTAACTCAGATGACCTGTTCCATCTTGTGCTTCCTCTAACGCACGGCTGACTTTTCTGTCTTCCTTCTGCCCCTGACACCAATTTTGCCTCTCGAGCTTTTAGTGAGGTAATTTTTTTATATTCCCTTGGTTTGACTGTTCATGGTTAATTTAGGCTGCAGTGTTAACTGTACCATGTAGGAATTTCACTTTTGCTCAGCATCTTAGAGGGTCAGATTTCTGGGGGAGGAACAATAGGGAAAATGACATTAAACCCAGGACACCTCTGTGGGGAGGGAATAAGAGTAATTGAGATTGCTTTCTATTATGTGGAGTTA